TATTAGAGTGGTTTAAATGTGTGGAGTCTTATTAGTTGCTAGTTGAAGTGATTTTATTGTTAGTATAAAAAAATTTTACACTTTATGATATGAATTTAAATCTATACCTTTCTTTTATCTTTTTTTTTTATTACAAGTTAAATTCACTTATTTTAGTACATAAAAAAGAAAAAAGAAAAAAGAGTGGTCCTAATGTCCGTGTTTGTGTGTTTTTATCGGTAGTAATAGAGATATAATAATTAATTGATGAAAATTTATATTTATTATTAAGAAAATAGGGTCATCAACCTTACTTTTCAAAAATTATGAAATTTTTTTTAAATTATATCATTTTATTAAACTCTTATTAAGAAATATTAAAGTATTATATTTTTAAAGTATGAATTAGATTAATTTTATCTTTTATCATAGTGTTTTATTAAAACAACATTACTTAAAATTAATTTTTTCCTTAATTTTTAAAAAATATGGTGGATAAACACTAATCCTTTATTAGTATAATATATCTTATACAATAATTATTTTTTAAATTAAGATAAAATAAAAAATAATAATAAACTCATTAAAAGATATTTTACAATAGAAATTTGGACAATTAATTTTGGACATTCCAAATTATAATTACATAAAAAGTAAGACAATTAAAATTTATTCAATTTAAGAAAACTTACAGGACATAAGGGAAGGAATGATTTTTTTAATCTATTAAATTATATTATATGTCAACATTATAATTTAATTAATTAAAAAAAATTATACCTTCCCTCTTATCTTTTTCATTTCTTCTAAACCAGAAGTAGTCCAAATTAAAATATAACTATAGTACTTGGGTACAATAGTTAAATTGTTTACTCATTTTATTAAAAAAATAATTATTATTTTTATTCAAAAATTGTCCCAGATTACAACAAAACTAGCTAATAAAATGGCTGGCTTATTATGGATTAGTTTTTAAGTTTCACGTCTTCATTCTGAACACCTTGCTTCTCGGGACTTCAACCTCTTTTGTCAAATATTTGTTATTACAAAAATCATTTATTCACTATTGTACCCAAAAGTACTATAGTTATATTTTAATTTGAAGGTAATTACGAAAATAGAACAGAGAGGTTTATCAAATAATGGGTAAGAATTGAATTTTTAATAAACTAAATTTAAGTATCTAAAATTTGGAGATATATCATTGGATTCGAAAATTTAATTTAAGGAAAAACTTTTATTTATTTAATAAAATTAAAATAAGAGGTATGTTTGATAATATTTGACATTATGAGAATAATTTTTATTAAGTTTTTTACTTGACAATTAATTTAATGCAATAAAACTACAATCAACAAACGTTATTAATTAACATCAATAAATTTTATCAATATTTTGTACTTATCACTTAGTATTTTTAAGAATTTTATGTTACATTAAAATAAAACAAATTTCATTGGCTTCAATTACACTTTTTGTTTGTTGAAATTGGAAGTTACACTCAAGTATGCTTATTTACTTCTTCTTCTTCTTCTTTTTCTTCTTTGGTAGACAATGCCATAGTTATCCTCAAACTGATGTACTTTCCAAAACAGTGGCATACGGTTGTTTGTAATTGTGCTTTGTAATAATGAACAAAAGTCATTTCCTTTCCTTGTACTTTATTACCTAGAGCAAAAGAAAAATAACGGTTGTTGGGACTTGGGAGAAGGAAAGGAACGGTAAAATAATGGCAAAATTCTACTTTTAGTCTTTTATTTTATTAAATTTATAAGTTTTAATCTATCATTTTATATTGTAACATTTTTAATCTCTCATCTATTAAAATTAAAAAAAATAACTCTCACTTATAACATTTTGTTAGTTTTATTAGTTGACTATTAACTACTAAAATCCTACTTTCAGTTAATAAAGTTAATAGTTAATTAATAGAACTATTCTGTTAGTTAATTATTAATTTCATTAATTGATTATTAGTTATCAAAAATTTACTTTCAATTAATAAAGTTAATAGTCAATTAATAGAATTAACAGTTAACTAACAAAATTAATGAAATATTATAAAGTGAGGGCTATTTTTATTAATTCTAATAAATAAGTGATTAAAAGTGTCATAACATGAAGTGAGAGACTAAAATCTACAAATTTAATAAAGTAAACAACCAAAAATAGGTTTTTGCCGTAAATTAATAGGGAAAAAGGGAGGGGAACGGGAAATGCGGAAGGCAAAACCATAAGTTAAGCCCCTGAACCAACCCAGAATCGCAATTAAGCCCCTGAACTCTGCAATAGAACCAATTTAGCCCTTAGTCTCACAGCCAACTTAACTACTGTTAATTGCCATTAACTGCGGTTTAGGGGATTGTCTCGTGTGGCGAAATTGGCCATCTCACTCCCACGTGGCAAGGGACTTGACATTTGATTTGTTCACTTTGATAAAAAATATATATATATATTTAGGAATAATTTTTTATATAATTTTATATGTCATTTAAATAATTTTTTTATTAATAAATTTGACAAGCTTATGTCTTAAGGTACAAGTTAAAAATATAATAAATATATTTTTATAATAAATTTAGGTTAAAAATAAAAATTAACTTTTAATTTTTAAACAGTTCAACTAAATTTATTCATTTAATATCAAAACTAAAATTAATATCAATTTTAATTTTTATACATGTTTATGATAAAAAAATACTTTTAATATGTGCTTTAGGGACATAGATTAAAAAATTCTTTTATTTATTTAAGAGATGTGATATTAAATGTATTCATTTATCTAATAATATGTAAAAATTATATTAAAAAATTATCCCTATATCACCCAAAAAAAGAGGAAAAAAAAAGCCTCAAGTAATATAGAAACCACTTTTTTCTTTTCTTTCACTATTTTTTTAATATAGAGATAATTGTTTTATACAATTTTTTTATACAACTTTCATATATTATTAAATGAGTGAATGCAATTAACATCACATGTCTCAAATAAATAAAGAATTTTTCTAACATTTATCCTTAGAGCACATATTTAAAAATATTTTTTATCACAAACATATATGAAAAAATAAAAATTAATATTAATTTTAGTTTTGATGCTAGATAAATAAATTTAATTGAACAGTTAAAAAATTAAATATTAATTTTTATTTTTAACCCAAATTTATTATAAAAATACATTTATTGTATTTTTAACTTGTATCCTTAAGACATAAGTTTGAGAAATCTATAACTAAAAAGAATTAATTATTTAAATGATATAAGATTGTCTAAAAAATTAATATAAAAAATTATTCCTAAATAATTTTCTTTTTTTTTTTTAATCCAAGTGGACAAATCAAATGTGAAGTCCTTTGCCATGTCGTAGTGAGATGACCAATTTCGCCACACGAGGCAGTCCCCCAAAAACCACAGTTAACGGCAATTAACAGCAGTTAAGTTGGCTGTGAGAGTGAGGGCTAAATTGCTTCTATTGCAGAGTTCAGGGGCTTATACGCTTCTATTAAAGTCTGGGGGTTTAATAGTAATTCTGGGGTTAGTTCAGGGGCTTAACTTATGGTTTTGCCAATGTGGAATGGGGCGGTGCTGCCCCTTGATGTAAACGCTTTCTAGAGGTTTACTTTAATTAAAATGCCTTAGAATGACTTCTTCTCTCTTTTCTCTTCTTTTTTCATAGGCAAACATTCATGAGAGAGAGGGGTGGGAAAGGGAAATAAATGATTGAACTTTAATTATACGAGCAAAGAAATATTTTTTTTTTTGTCAATAATTGAATTAATTAATTTACAATAGACTAGCTTCTGTCATTTTACTCAATAGATATAACATTTTTAAAACGTGAATGTAGCTTTTTTATTGAGTTAAGTTAATAAGGATGATAATTTTGGGTAAATTGTATATTTTATAATTATTAATAAAAAAATCATTATAACATTAAAAAGATCTTATCCTTTATTTATTTATTTTGAA